GGGGAGCAGCAGAGGGAGAGGGAGAAGCAGGCTCCCTCTAAACAAGGAGCCTGATGTAAGATTCGATCCCAGGACCCTGGGATCATGACCAGAACTGAAGACCGATTCTTAACCATAAAAGAACCACCCAGACGCCCCGACCAGAGGTCTCTCATTGTTGCTTATGTTCATTTTCAGTAGTGCCTGCCACATCATGTCAGTATAGATTTCCTTGTTATTAATAATATTCCTCTTCCAATGGCACATTCAAAAAAAAAAGAAGAAGAAGAAGAGGAAGAAGAACATGGACAAGAAAGAAGAAGAAGAGAGGAGAAGAAAGGGAGCCCACTTTTTATTTACCAACTTGAACTTAACCCCCAGGTCCTAGGACCATCCCAGGGACCACGGTAGGCTTTCACTAATTATTTAGAAATGAATGTTTTTCTCCAGATTATTATTTTCCCTACCAAGTTTAGAAATTAATTCTATTATTATGATTATCAGCAAGTGGTCTTAGTTGGCTCACTTGTGTAACTTGTGGAAAGGATACTGAATTTTCCAGATTTTTCTAAACTCAGATTTACATATATTCACATGTCATCAATCCAGAGCTCAGTTTGCAAATTGAACTTCATTTTAAAAAGACCTAAACATGAGTATTCATGACATTACTTTGTACTAAATATCACTAAACTTATACATGTGGCTCTATTTTTTTGTCTGCCTGGTTTGAATAGTTAACATGAATAATAAAGAGATTGAGAAAGATAGTCTAAGAAATATATATATATTTTAAACTTAATTTATTAATTTAGAAAATTGCTTTGTTTAAACAAGAACTACTTTATTACAGGGAAATATATATACTTGTTATTTATCTGTGTATATATTTTTTATTACTTGTTAAGCAGCTAATCATGATTTCTAAACAAGGGTATCTTTACCGCTTCCATAGCATGATCTTTGGCCATTGTAATGAAAAACCATACACTGAATCAAGGATGAGTTCATGTATTAATGACCATGTGGTACCACATACCAAAGCCTCAAAGTACAGGACCCCTAGAAAAATAAATAGTCATAAAGCAAGACAAGGAGATTCATTAATTATAACTCTTTCCCTGTGATATTTGGGATTCTAATATTAAAGAGACATAATTTCAAATTAAACTAGCTTTAAAAAAAACAGCTTATTTTTGGTTCATATATCAGAAAATGTTGGTGATGAATTTGTCTCCAGCATACATGGAAACAGTATCATCAATGATACTCTCCCCATTTCCTGGCACTGTCTTCTTCTCATGGTCCCCAGTCCTGGAAAGACCCAATGCAGGCATAAGATGAGCAAATGTCAGATAGAAATAGACTTGTCTAGCCCTCAGGTAATTAAGAGTCACTCTTTCCCATGCTCATAGGAGTCACCCTGACTATACCAACTTGGATAACTTGCCAGTTCTTAAACCAAAGAGTCCAGACCTGAATCTCACTCCCATTGCTGGAGCTAAGACCAGTTGTGAAGGGGATAAGCATCTCTCTGAGGAAAACAAGAGGCTCTTACTAGAAGCCAAGCCCAGGATACCTGTGGGTTGACATGCTTAGTCAAGGTCAACTTAGCGGTCATTCATATAAAAATACCACGTGAACAGTTGATTATACTTTGAGTATGATGAGTCTTTCTGTATGAACTATGCCTTTTATTGAATCCTTGCTTCATTTGTGAGACTCCAATCTAGGTGTTTTGTTTCATTTGTTTGTTTATTTTTCCATTTATGATCGAACCTTCTTTACATTTGTCCTTTTACGGAAAGTCATTGTTTTTCAATTTCTCAGGCACAGGAAAGAGATGGAGGAGAGAAATAAACCATAGCCAGATCTAGATGTGTATATTTATTTATTTATTTATTTTTATTTTTATTTATTGTGGGAGCAAGGGGTTGCTGAGGATGTCTGGAACATGTGCATATGGAAATGGCGAGAGGAAGGAATTGTGGGAGGGTGAGATTAAATTCCGTGAAGAGGGCTGTGGTACACAGCAGAAAATATATACAGATGCATGGCTTAGAGTGTCTTACCATTTATGTATCATAACACTTCAGGAAAATGATTACAAATTGTAGGTTTTATTCTACTGTCTAGTAAATTATAGGCAACACACTGGCCTTTCCATGAATACCAAGTACTCCTCTGTCCTCCTTGATTCAGGAGGCGGACATTCCTTGTGCTTTGGGAACAATTTCATGAGCCTCCATCTCAGACACCATTGGTCACAGTCATTGGTCCTAACTGAATGAAATCCCTACCAGAGTTTACTTTCCAAGTCTCTCACAAGGGACATTACCATTTTTTCTGGATATCCAGCCGATGTCTCTGTTCCCTTTTCGAATCTTGGACCACCAATAATTTCTTCACCATAGTTTTGTTTGTACGTGTAGGGACTCAGTTATGTAGATTTTCTGCCCACCGTGTCCCGATTTAGTACTAAAACTGCAAAATAATGCAAAGCTATTTAAAATCACATAAGCAAGAAACTGATTTTTGGCTTATTTGTTAAACTCTCTACCTGCTGTTGGTTTCTGTGGAGCTAGTGGTGTTCCCGAGTATATTAGCTCATCTGAAGTTGGCTGCCTGTGCAGACCAGGGACTGTTTTTCTCACCTGTGCTTTGCAGTGCTCTATGGTATTTATAGCACATCCCAGATGGGTGCCTTCCTCAATTTAATTACTATCCGGCTTATCCTCCCTTCCAATATCATTCATGAAAATGTTAAATAAGGCCAGCCATAATACCTACATCCCCAAAGCATGTTCCCCAACAGTTCTCAACTTGATGCATTGCCATTTATCATTAAATTCCTTTAGCCAATTTAAGTCCCAGGAAGAATGTTAATATTGAATCCAATTTGAGCTAAATTTTAATTAAGATTTCCTGAGACATTATGTTAAGTGATTTACTATAATCAAAATTGATATCTCCTCTGCTACCCCCGCTCCCAATTTTCTAATTTTACCCACATGCAAAAGAGAATTGGGTTGCTCTGTCTTGACTCATTCTCCATAAATAGACATCATTCATCAGTTCTGTTTCTGCAAATAGTTTCCTTCTCCTTTACCTTTAGGACCATTCTGTCATCCTCCTATAAGTCCCAAAATCATTTTATGAAATGCATTTCCTTCTGGCAACCACATCTGTCGACCCGCAAATACCTAATCTCAGCTAACTGAATGCCAATCTCTCAAATTTCCTTCTTTCCTCTCAATTATTTTTGTAGCTACTATTTCTCTGCACATTATTATTCTGAATGCAATTGATGCTAAACATAGAAACAGTGTGCACAGTATATCCCCTTAAGGGTGATGGTGTGTGTAAGGCACTTTGTTTACATTTTCTTAGGATGGTGAGCATGAGCATCTGAATGGGCCATTAATTAACATGGCGCTCTTGAAATTGAATTCAAGTTTCAAGGTAAATGTGCATACTTGCATTTGATCTAAGAAGGTGTGTCAGGAGTATCCAGGGGCCACCCAAAGGCATTTGTGAATGATAAAGAACGGTTACTTTATAGAAGTGAAATTTAGGGGTTAGAAATACATATGAAAATGTTAGTAAATAAGAAAACTTTTTTTCTGTAGGTTTACTTATTAAATTTATATATTTTAGTTATTCAACAGGAAACTTTTAATTGTTTTCCCCTTATGTGTAAACTTAAATGAGGCCACCTTTCTTATCTGCATCTATCACTTTTGGAATGAGGAAAATAGAAAGTTCTGTGACTGTATAGGGGCATGTGGGTGGCTCAGTAGATTGTGTCTGCCTTTGGCTCAGGTCATGATCCCAGGGTCCTGGGTTTGAGTCCCGCATCAGGTTCCCTGCTCAGCAGGGAGTCGCTTGTCCCCCTCCCTCTTCCCTGCCCCCTGCTTATGTGTTCCCACTTTCCCTCTCTCTCTCTCTGTCAATCTCTTTCAAATAAATAAATAAATAAATAAAATCCTTAAAAAAAAGAAAGAAAATTCTGTGAATGTCTGCAAAATGCATATTATAAGATTTCCCACTAGTATCTACTTTCCCCAGGGATAAATTTATATTCATCAGCCAGTTAAAGAACTTTATTTAACTCATTAAATCATTCTTACCTTAATTTTGCTTTATTGAATTAATAATGGTCATTCTGTTTTCACATATAAATGACCCAAATATAGTTTTAGCTATTGGATACAAGTTGCTTTGAAGGACTATAAAGACCTGCAAATTAGCCTCAAGAATGTTCATGTGGTATTATCAAGGGCCTCTGAGTTCATTCCCTTTTCTCAAAAAAAAAAAAAAAAAATATATATATATATATATATATGTATGTATGTATATATGTATGCATGTATATGTATTTCTTATGCTTCACAGTCTAATTTTTTAGTAAGGTATCCTACAACTGGAGATGCATTTGTTTGATTTTGGAAAGGCAAAACCCTAGGCCCTTTCCATCTTTTATAAGTCAGTGTGAACAAGATCATAAAGATATTTTTTCCTAAAGCTAAGCAGTAATTAAAAGGATACAAGGATGAGAGACTCTCTGAGAGACCAAAGGAAAACATTATGGATGTAAAAGACAAGAGCAGAAAGAAGGATGACAGTAATAAAGACAGACTTCACCCACTAAATTTTCTCCAGTCTCGGTAGGCAGTAATAAGTGTTTATGTGTCCAGAACAGAAGGGTAAGGTAGAGGGGAAAAATTAACTTTCCCATAGTGATATTCAATTTGCTGTTAGAGCTTTCCTCTTCTTTCCTTTAGTAAATTAAAATAAAGACAGTCTTCAAGATACAAAATTTTATCACTTTCATAAGAAAAAGAAAAAAAAAAATCCTTCCTGATGGGATTTCTTCTGAATCAGAGCACCTGTAGCCATGTTTCAAGAGAAGAGCGAATGTGCAGAGATCTTTCTTCACCTCTATTTTGTCTTTGGAAGCAGGGACACTGGGGTAGAAAGCTGAGCCCCAGGAGGACCGACGATGTGGTTTTCTGTTCCAGCTCACAGCCGTGGATGCAGACGAAGGGTCCAACGGGGAGATCACGTACGAAATCCTGGTGGGCGCTCAGGGAGACTTCGTCATCAACCACACCACAGGGCTCATCACCATCGCCCCGGGGGTGGCGCTGACCGTGGGGCGCACCTATGCCCTCACGGTCCAGGCCGCGGATAATGCACCTCCTGCGGAAAGAAGGTAAGGCAGCATGCAGTCACTGCGGCTTCTCCGCGCTCCCAGTTAACCTTGCCCTGTACACTGAGGAAGTGCAGCAAATGTTCTTTTATTCTATACATGTCTAAATTAGACCAGAAAATTCTAGGGGCCAGATTCTAAGGAACTGTACGTTCTTTCTTGGTTTAAGTTATAGGGAAAGGACAACAAAGATTAAACCACAAAATAAGCAACTCTGATTTCACAGATGTGAGGGATACAGATCTCAGTACTTAGGGGGAACTGGGAGATAGCAGAAGCAGGTAGCCAACTGATTGGTGAAAAGCAAGGTTGTTGACAGTGAGAGGTCACAGACATAGCAGCGATCTGAAATGTCTTGTGTTTGAAGCCACCTCCCAATGTCCAGGTAATTCAAATGTATACATAAATACATGTATATATCCTCTCTTTGTATATAAAAAGTATATATGCATAACCACATATATACAAATATATACATTCTCTTATCTATTCTATCCATAAGATTTATTATAGAATTGATAATTTACCTGTAAAATATATCTATAGGTATCCCATGTGTACACATTCAAATATATAGCTACATGGAGGGTGTGGGATAGTAGAAAACAAAAGACTTCTAGCTATTACAACTGTATTTACTTAGTGTCCCACCAGAGCTACCTTTTTTTATTAATTTCCTGCTTGTTTCCTGATTTTCAGTATGCATTTAAAGAAAATACGAATGAATTCCTGCACCGGTTGGGTTTGTCCCCTTACAACACACCCTGGGGTTCTTCCAACATGAATACTGAATTATTTCTTCAAAACTCTTTTCCCAGCTACATAATATTCTTTCATACGTGTGTTATACTGTGTAAGAAACCCACTGTCGATGGACTTTCACATTCCTGTCGCTCTTTTACTGACAATGAAAGAATAAATAAAACTGAACAAGCATCCTTTTGGATATGTGCAAATATGTCAATACAGTAAATTCTCATTTACCAAAGGGCATATGCAATTGTAAGTTTCAGCGATAACTGCCAAATTGTATTCTGCAGGGCTCATAAAAATTTACAGTTCCAACTGTCAAGTCGGAGAGTGTGTAATTCTAGTCTCCCCAGCTGTGTGTCATATCAAACGTGGATTTTTACCAGTCTTATAGGTTAAAAAAAAAAGCATCTATTTTTTTTATTCATTTGCTTATGGGTAAGTTTGTTTCCTATGCTCTTGAGCCAATTCTGTTACTTTTCCTGTAAAGTCTGTGTTCATAGTCTTTACCCATCTTTTGACAGATATGTCAAGCCCAGGATATAATTATCTTATATTTAGTCTTAATGATTTTATAGGTTCACGTTGTGTGTTTAAATCTTTGTTGAATTTGGGATTTATCCTAGGATGCAGGAGGAGGTATCAATCAGCAGTAATTTTTTTTTATGCTACTCTGTAATTTTTCCCACATAATATGCTTGATAGTCCATCTTTATCTCACTGATTTGAGACCTTACATTAATTATAATCATATATTTTCTCATTTATTTGAGTTTGATTAGAAACTCTCTCTTCTATCCCATTAGTTCACCCCACTTTTCATGAACTATTGTCACAATTTTAATTTTTAATGTTTTAAATGGTGCTTCATAACATGGTGGTGCTAACTTACATCAATGATGCTTTTCTCTAAAAGTGTCTTGGTTGCTCTTTATATTAATTTTGCCCATACTTTCTTGTGTGTCCTATAGGAATTTTTATTTTTTTAATATTTTCTTTATAAGAGTCTTGTGCATTTCTTTGTTGGTCCATTTCTGTATCTTTTGCTATTATTGTACGTAGACTCTTTTCTCTTTATTCATCTCTCTGGTTAATATTTATATATGTGAAAGCTATTAATCTCTTTTTATTAATTTTAATCCTCTTTCTTATTTCTTTTATATTTTTGTAAAAGTTTTCCTATCAGTTCTTCAGTGTCATCCAGGAATGTATTTTATAAATAGTGAAAATTTTATATCCTTTCTCCATTTTCTTTCCTTTAAGTTCATTGGCTAATTGTTTCAATAAAAGTACTTATCTTTTTTTTTCTTTTAAGATTTTATTTATTTATTTATTTGAATGAGAAAGAGCAGTAGGTTAGGGTAGAGATGGAGGGAGAAGGAGAATCTCAAGCAGATTCCCTGCTGAGTATGGAGCCTGATATGGAGCTAGATCCCATAACCCTGAGATCACAGCCTAAGTCAAAACCAAGAGTTGACCTCTTATCTGACTGAACAACCCAAGCATGCCTGCTTGACTTGTTTTTAACTCAAGTAAGAATGTCTCCCAGATTTTCCCATTATACTGGTTTATGGTTTTAATTTTTTAAAATTCTGTTGAGAAAGTGTTTATTTCCATTTTATTGGCTTTCTAAAATAAAAAAATATATACCCATCATCTATGAAGACAGTAATGACTTTCGTTCTTGAGCTAATCATACAATGATTGATCTTGATACAATTCCTAAATTAATCTATTTTGCATTCTTACTATGAATCCCACTAGGCTGTGATGTTTTATTCTTGAATTAAAATGCTAGATTATGTTTGTTCCTATTTAGTGAAATTAGTCTATTCTTCTCTTTTTGAGAAATTCTTATGAAGATGCCATGAAGCTGTTCTGATACCTCATAAAAGAAAGAAAAACCACAAAAAAGGCAAGAAAGAATTAGCCATTTTAATAGCAAGTGTGAATCTGGGGTAAACATCTCTAAAACCAGTGAATAAATCAAAATTTTGTTCTCTGAAAAGGAAGATTAAAAAAATAAAAATATAATCAAATGGATAAACTACTACTTTATTTAATTAAAAAAGGGAGAGGGGCATCTGGGTGGTATAGTCGATTAAGTCTCTGACTCTTGGTTTCAATTCAGGTCATGATCTCAGGGTCCTGAGATCAAGTCCCATTTTGGGCTCTGTGCTCAGCAGGGTATCTGCTTGAGACTCTCTCTCTCCCTCTCCCTTTGCTCCTCTCCACCCAGGCTCTCTCTCTCTCTCTCTAAGATAAATAAATAAATCTGTTTTTAAAAAGGGAGAAAGCAAAATAATAAATTCTAAGAAGGAAATGCTACAGAAACAGAGGAAAGAGAAAGAATCCTAAGAGACACCTTTGCTTTTAATATATGTAAAATTTGAGAACATGAGTGAAATGGATAATTTTTCCAGAAGATACAGTTTATCAAAACTGATTCCAAAAAGTAAGAAATTTTAAAGCGATGAACCTTATGGAGTAATAGAGAAAGTTTCAGAGAGCCACTACCCAAAGCTATATGAGGGCCAAGCAACTGATAAGGAGGACTGGAACACAGCCAGTGAGAGGGGTCATTTCCAGTTGAGCCACCCTCCAGAGCACACTCCACACCCCCAAGCCACACTTGGCATCTCTCTTATCTTCTATCATGGACCAGTCGTAGGATGACTTCTTGCTCCTCTCGGATATTGGTGGACTGTCTCTCCTTTTCCTTTCCTGTTCTCCTTTTGCATCTCATCCTGTCTGTCCCTCCATCTACAGATGGTGGTCCCTTCCCCAACCTCTAACTTCATCTCCCACTGTCACTGCCCACTTCCGCAGGTCCCTCCAGGGGGAGCTAGTTCCCAGTAGTCCAGCATTCCTTCAGCAGCACCTGTCACTTGGTGTCTTCTGGCTGGTCTTGCAGCTGCTTTGGCTAAATATCCCTGGATCCATCCTTAGTGTGTTCCTTTCTCTCAAACTCAAATGCAACCTTGAGCAGCACCTCTAAGCTCTACCCTAAGAACACATAGAAATGGACAATCCCCTGCTCTTGTTACTGACATCCCAGTCTGCATCAAGCTTCTCTCTGGTCCCATCTGTTGAAACGTCTTCTGAAACTTCTGCCATTGCCCCTTCCATCCCTTCTCTGTTCAGGGACCTGAGAGATTCTAGTAACACAGGAAACACTTTCTTTTTACTCAAACTCTTCTTGGGGTCTCACATCTGACCCAAAGTAAAAGACAAAATCAGTAAAAAGGCCAGGGACCCCAGCACACATTGCCAGCGGCCACCAACCAGAGGACACTCCCTAGTGTCACCTCCTTTGTAGAACATCACCTCCTGCTCCACCTTGCTTCTCCACTCCAGCCCTCACACCACCCCTACTCATCCCTGAGGCTGGCAGCTTCCTTCGGCCCTTCGAACATGACCATCCCCCCTCAGCCTGGATGGCTCCTCTTTCTATTTGTCCGTGGACTCCAGTCCTTCTGGCCCCTACCCAACCATCACTTTCTTTGCCAAGTCTTTTCAGACAAAGTATTTACAGCTGCAACAACCTTTCCATACTTAATGGCCTTTTTAATCCCCTGCACTTACCGTTCTGGGACAGGTTATTATGTACCTTCAGTTAGGGTATGAAGTTGATGGTCAGCCTCACCTCCTCCCCACTGGAATTTGAGTTCACAAGGGCAAGAATTACTGTGCTTTCATTGTCTCTTGTGTCTACAGAATCCCAAACAACTCCTGGAATGCTCTAGATGCTTAAAAAGTCATCTATTTTTATTGTTTTCCTAAGTTCTTAACAAACATTTTTTTTTCTGTTTCTTAAACAGATGAATTAGAAAACGAAACAGTATAATACAAAACTCAAATAACTTTAAAGAGCCCCCGAAATGAAAAGGCACACTGGAAATTGTTCTATCTTCTTTCATAAGTATACACCGATTCTAATTTTGTCACTAATAAATCAGGGGGAAAAAAAGGTGTCTGTGATAGTAAGATTTTCTATTCTGCCCAACCAACCATCTATTATACAATCACCACTTATTGTGTCACGGAAATACAAAGATAAACAGAGTGCCATCATGTGCAGACCAAAAAAATTTTAGTAAAGAGTGGAAAGTAGGACTTTATAAATAATTAAATTCAGTTCAGCATGGTAAGTGTGTGATTGAGCTAATTTCTCCGCTCTCTGGGGCATCAAAGAGGGCACTTGTTATAATGAGGGAGTACTTAGAAGGCCTCCCAAACAGATGAGTTTGGAG